CCCAAAACCCCAAAACCCCAAAACCCCGTGCTGCAATTTGTACGATCAATTTTTATATTTAGATATATATTTAAGCGAGTATTATGGTATAGTATAATTTAAATAATTTCAAATATAATAGTTAACAAATGAATCCTTTCTAGGAAGATTTAATACCATTTGACAATTTGATTGAAGATTACAAGAATCAACATAATAAGGGACTCAAGACTCTTTACTCTAAACATTTGTTTACCTGCTTTAATCCTCAAAATCAAAATTAGGTTATCACACTTAACTATAATCACTACCCGAAGGATACTAACTATAAATCATTAAAGCCCAAACCAGCTGAAGACAAGGACAAAGAAAAAGAAAAAAACCCTCAACCATCAGAAGAACAAAATGAAAAATCCTAGAATTCAGGATAAAATTCATATTAATCAGAATAAGAAAATAAAAGAATACTCAGAGAATCAGCTAATTCTGACATAGGTTGTTTAGTAGATCACACTCTCAATGAAGATGGAATAGTTCTAAAAAGAAACAAGGATTTTCAACATTTTTTGGAATTCGAGATAGACCCAAGCGAACCGAAATACTCCTATTCTGTATCAATTTGGGAGTACAATGATAAAATTCATTCTACAAAGTTGAGAGAATTTTGTTTTAACGGATCACCATATGGATTAAATAACCGTTATATTCAAAAGCTTAATAAATTTAGAAGTTCTACAAGCCAAGATATATCATTTTAAATCAGTCACGATGGAAAATTTGTCTACTTTTTCCTAGTCAAAGATTCATAGAGTTATACCCCTATTTAATATTATTAACTTGATATTGATACTCTAAATCTTAGTTGCCATAAATATCTCCCATTAAGACTCTAAGGTATAAATCTTTCATTTTAACTTTTTTTAGAACCGATTTCAAATTCAGCTCTTATATTTGGGTCATAATACTTGTATGTTTGCTAAAATGGAACTCATAATTTCTTTGACATAAATACTTGGGATATTGTATGGAGCTTTGATTTGTCTAAGAATGTCTCTTCATTAGAAACGTTACACTTTTAAAGCGGTGATTCAGAAAATTAATCTGTATACATCATTAGTGATATAGATAAGAACAAGATAAATCAAGTTTATAAAGTTTAATTCAAGGAAAAAATTAACAACTTAATAAATGAAAACAATATATATTCAACTCTAGATAACCAATAATTAAAAGAAGAATCATCACTTGTATTCAACAAAAACCTCTCATTTTACGCAATCATAAACAGAGATTATGCTTGTTTTTATGAAATTAAGGATTAGAAATCAGTAAAGATAGAGTAAGATTCGGTATATAATATTGATGCCTACTTGCTGCTAAATTAGTTTCCATATTTACATTAAAATCTTACACTTGTTTGGAGAGACACTGAAAGTAAAAATTGGAGCTATTGCCTCGGGAAAAAATCAATAATCAATTTAGAACTTCATCCTAAGTCATACAGAAAAGGAGATGTTATACTTGATTAAGAAAGGTAATAGTATAATATTATTTCAAAGCCATTCTAAAATGACTTAGACTTAAGAATAAGCAAGTCAGTGGAAATTCAAGGATCAAATAACTAGAATTTATAGTTTCAGAGTGAATACTTCTCAGGTACTATTGTATAGATAACTAATTTGTTATAGAGATATCATACATCTAGGTAGCATATCCTTATGTTGCCATGTAAAAAGGAAATCATCTTTTAATTATGTAAAATTGCATGAAGCCAGACGAAATCTTTTGGATGAAATTTAAGCATGGTAATTGAAACTTTTCATATTAATATACTAATATAGAGATTATGGGGCTTCCACAGTCGAGATCATTGAATATTGGGAAAAATATTGACACTAATTAAATATTTGCACTATTGAGGGAGGAAAATGAATACTGGTTATATAACATAAATTTCAGACAAACTTTGTTTATAGATAAAGATGATAAAGTTGAAGAGGGGGGTTTCTTCTCCCTTCGGTTGGGGAACACTTATGTTTTTGATCATAGCTATTTTCTATGCTGTAAGAATTATATAATCAAACTAATTAAACGAATATAGCTGATAAACTTAGCATGAGAAATATAAATTATTTTGTCTCTGAAGATACTCCTTATTTATTGATTTATCAATCCTTAGATAGGCTTACAATCTAAGGACTCGATCCTGAAAAGCATCCTAACTATGTTCCTACAGTTTTTGAAAAAATTCATCCGAAAGTACCTTTCTTGATGAAAAAATTTACGGTTCCAGTTAATGGTTCCAACCAAAAATACAGAGAATACAATAATTTTTTGTTTATACAAGAGATTGATGAAAAATTAGCTCTAATAAGGGGGGTTGTAAAAAAAGTAGATGATAAATTGTTTTGTGTGTAAACTATTGATGCGAGAGAACCTGAAAAAATATCTTCGATGGATATCAATGAAGCTAAATTATATTTGTTTTACACAACAGGCGAAGTTGACATTTACGAACTTACTCTTGATGAAGCAAAATTTGAGAGGACAATAAGTAAACTTGAGTTAAGCCTTGATAATCAAAGTCTATGCAAATAAAGACTTGTCTTATCTGAAAACTGCTTGCTTGAAGGAAATAAGATTTTCCAAAATCCATTCAACAGTCAATAATTGATTTAAGAAGATTATCATTCAGTTGAATTATTTACTTAGCAGTAACACTCTAAAATTTAAAAGAAGTTTAAGCCTAAACAGGTATTGGCCCAGGATGAAATTAAAAAGTTATTTGTCTTTGGTAATTTCAAAGGCATAAAACAATTTTAAGATTATGAAAATCCGATATTAAAAATTGATAGAGAACTTAAGAAGTCGCAAACAAAACCTAACTCTATAAATCAAGAAAACGAAGATAACCTTAAAAATTCTAAATGGAGACATGATAATTCTGCACTTTTAGTGAATACTTTTGATGGTTTGCTCTCTATGGAAAAGGGTCATTTGGGATCATTTTAAAATAATTAAATAACACCGTATGATAAATATGCCAGTATTCGACCAAGAATAGTTATTATTCCAAATCCAATATCAAGAAACTTATATTATGAGACAGGTACTTATTTCAACGATTTTGATTGCACTTATATTGATGATAACTTTATAATGACTAAGAAATATTTTGAAGATGGTGTCAATATAATACACAAATTCCTTTCTTTTGAATACAAACTTCATCTCAACTATGATTACATTCATTACTAAACAAAGCAAGAGATGGTAGGACCATTTAAAAGTAAAATTAAGATGTTTAAATTATCAGAAAACATGCAATATATGCTATTTTCGAATATCAATTGTATAGATACCTAAGTGGAAAGTTCAGAAAAGATTATGTTACTTTACAAAATTGAATAATCACAAACATTCAAAGTACCCACTTTGAGACTAGTCTATAACTTTTAGAAAACTCATATGCTTATTGGCTACTATAATTATAGGAATGTTAATTTCCTGAGTTAACCAGTTGTTACAGATAATGGAGATTATGTATTTATACATACAATAGGCAGTGAAAGAGATTATATAGATAAAGAAATAGTCAAATAGCTTTTTATTAAGAATAATGAGCCATATGACAAATCTGTTCTTGAAAGATTTGATCTAGTTGAGAGCAAATTAAAAAATAACGAGCTGTTGCCTGTTAAAAATTACTAAATAGTTGGAGATATGCTATTTATTATTGAAGATCATATAATTGAATATGCTAAATTGTTTCCTAGTGCATAGGAGAGAACAAAAAGGGCATAAAGAATTAATCTAAGTCCAAGCTTTGAAATGAAGGTAAGAAGAATAACTGCAACATCAAATTAAAATGCAATTCAAATAGTATTTACAGATGATAAATAAGGGCTTTCAATAGTAACTTGGGATTTGAAGCTGAATAGAGAAATAAAATCTTTTAATTTGGTAATTCCTGATGATCCTGTGATTTCAAAATATTTATAAGAGAATTGTTAAATATGGGTAGACTTTATGTTTAGAGGAACTGGAAAGAACTAAAATAACTATTTTTTGACTCCAGATAACTATATCTACGATTTAACTTTCGGACTTCCGATTTCTTAGTTAAAAAATTATCCTTATTAGAACAAATTAAGTATGTCTACTAACTTTGCATACTTAACAGAAGATTGCATGATTTTCTTAACTCCTGGAAATTTAATCCATCAGTATTCTCTTTATGATTTGTTCTTTATGAGAAATAAAGTTTAAAACCCTAAAGCTATTGAGTTTATGAGAGTTTAAAATATGGACTTGGATACATTTAACAGAAGATACCCAGTTGCGAAGAATATTTTCCACTAATTTTCACTCAACTCACATTTTCTATCCTTAGTTCAAGAAAAGTTGAGGCTGGAGTAATAAGATGATAATCACAAAAATCTTTCTATGCTTCTATATATTTTGTCTCCAAATGATTTTAAAGTAACTCCTTTCGATCATGCAGTGAAAGCACTGAGTTCAAGAAATGTAGAACTAATGCTTTCTATGGTGTCTTCATCATAAATTCAAAATACCTCAAATTACTTGAAATAGCATTTTTCCTCATTAATATCAATGGATATAGAGGCTTTTGTTCAATATCTTGAAGATGCATTGTCATTTCCAATTAGAATGAATCAAGGATAGAATGTTTATTGGGATACTGATGAATCACAGAAATATTTTGCTACAAATTCTAACTTTATAAGTTAAAAATAATTGCTAGACCCTTAATTACATGAGCATAATTTTAAACCTCAAAGTAATATTAAGGATAAAAAAATTGATCAAGCTATTCCAAAACAAGCTAAGAGAGCAGTAAGCAAAGATTTTAATCCAAATCAACTTGAATGGTATTAGGATATTCCAAAGAATACAATTGTATCTTAATCTAAGCTTGCAAGAGCCGAAGTAAAGCTACTATCATTTGATTGGATACTTGACAATACTCAAGCCCTCAATTTCTTTACAATCCTAGCCAATTCTGGAAATAGCAATCTTTTCACTATTCAAAGCATAAAAGTTATTGTACTTTATTACTGGTAAAACTTTTTTTATCAAATTAGAAACAAGGTGTTCTTCCCTTTTATTGCTTATCTTGTATTTTTCCAGGTTTATGCAACTTATATTTATGAGAAAAATCAAGAGAGAATTGAGCAAAATAAGATAGATTCAGCAGGAACCTCAAAAGAGGGTCTTGCTTATTTTTACGAGCTTGATAAGTTTTTCATTGCTATGATTATAAGTTTTATTTGCTATTTTGGTTTCTTAGAGGTGAACTAAATATATATGATGAGAGCCAGTTATTTCAACTCAATCTGGAGTTTGTTTGATTTGATATCAATAAATCTGAACATAGCTTATATTGGATGTTGTATTGCTGATATTTAACCTACTAAGTTGAGACCTTTAGCAGCAATAGCTGTATTGTTTATGTGGATTAAATTCTTTTACTTTTTAAGAATATTCAGATCAACATCTTCACTAATTAGAATGATAATGGAAATTTGCAAAGATATGGCAGCTTTCTCGCTTATTTTATTAATTGCTATGGTGGGATTTGCAAATGTGCTTTATATTTTAGCAATAAATGTAGTTTCAGTAGGAGAAGGAGAGGAACTTTTTACTGGATCTAATTTCTTACTTGCTATAATATATTCATTTAGGTTAGGATTGGGCGATTTTAGTACTGAAGGATTTGGAGAAACATATGATTAAATTATATGGATAGTATTTTTATTGGAAGCAATGCTAATTCAAATTGTTTTGCTTAATCTTTTGATTGCTATTATGGGAGATACTTTTTCAAAGGTAACAGAAATTTAAGAGTAACTTAAATTGGAGGAAATTTGTAAGATAATAGTTGATAACAGACATATAATAACTCCATCAAAGGAATTGAGTAACGGTAGATATATTGCTGTTGCTACTCTTGAGACTATTGCAAATTAACAAGGTGCATAATGGGAAGGTCAAGTTAGTGCCTTAAAGTATCACATCTAGAATGAAGAGAAAAAAATAATCAAATACTTTAAGACTCTAATAAGCGGAATTAAAATCAAAAGCGTTAAATGACAATGATTTTAAATTGATTAACTTCAATATTTCTTTCAAGTTAAAACTTTCTCAAATATCATATTCTACTTTTAAGGGGTTTTGGGGTTTTGGGG